GGGCGTTTCCCAGCTGTTTGTTACTTACTTACTTACGCCTGTTACTCCTCGTGAAGGAGCATAGGCCGCTCACCAGCATTCTCCATCCAACCCTGTCCTGGGCAATCCTTTCTAGCTCCGTCCAGTTGTAATTCATCGTTTTCATATCTGCTTCTATTATCCGACGCAATGTGTTCTTTGGCCTTCCTCTTTTCCGCTTCCCTTCAGGATTCCAAGTTAGGGCTTGCCTCGTGATGCAGTTTGACGATTTGCGTAATGTATGTCCTATCCATTTCCATCGTCTTTTCCTAATTTCTTCTTCAGCTGGAAGTTGGTTTGTTCTCTCCCACAGAAGGCTATTGCTGATGGTATCCGGCCAATGGATGTTGAGTATCTTGCGTAGACAGTTATTTATAAATACTTGTACTTTCTTGATTGTGGTTGTTGTAGTTCTCCAAGTTTCAGCTCCATACAGTAGAACTGCCTTGACGTTCGTATTGAAGATTCTCACTTTGATATTGGTTGAAAGTTGTTTTGAGTTCCATATGTTCTTCAATTGTAGGAATGCGACCCTTGCTTTGCCGATCCTCGCCTTTACGTCTGCATCGGATCCTCCTTGTTCATCGATGATGCTTCCCAGGTATGTGAAGGATTCTACATCTTCCAGAGTTTCTCCATCAAGTGTGATTGGATTGCTGTTCTCCGCTTTGAATTTGAGGACCTTAATTTTCCCCTTGTGTATGCTGAGGCCTACTGATGCAGAGACTGCTGCTACACTGGCTGTCTTCATCTGCATCTGTTCGTGTGTACGTGATAGGAGGGCTAGGTCATCTGCGAAGTCCAAATCGTCTAATTGATTCTGAGCTGTCCATTGTATTCCGTGTTTTCCTTCAGATGTTGAGGTCTTCATAATCCAGTCGACCACCAGAAGAAAGAGGAAGGGAGAGAGTAAACAGCCTTGTCTGACTCCGGTCCTTACTTGGAATGCATCTGTCAGCTGTCCTCCATGCACGACCCTGCACTGTAGTCCGTCGTATGAGTTCCGGATAATATTGACAATCTTCTCAGGAACTCCGTAGTGTCGAAGAAGTTTCCATAATGTCCTCCTATCTACACTGTCGAATGCCTTTTCATAATCAATGAAGTTGATGTACGGTGACGAGTTCCACTCAACTGATTGTTCGACGATGATCCGTACTGTCGCAATTTGGTCTGTGCACGACCGATCCTTACGGAATCCAGCTTGTTGGTCTCGAAGTTGGGCGTCTACTGCATCCTTCATCCGGTTCAGCAACAATCTGTTGAAGACTTTCCCTGGTATTGACAGTAGTGTTATGCCTCTGTAGTTTTCACATTTGCTCAGATCTCCTTTCTTTGGAATCTTGACGAGGAGTCCTTCTTTCCAGTCCATCGGCACTTGTTCCTCCTCCCAAATCTTTTTGAATAGAAGATAAAGCATGCTTGTGGTTGCTTCGATGTCTGATTTCAGTGCTTCAGCTGGTATGTTGTCGGGTCCCGCTGCTTTCTCGTTCTTGATTTGTCTGACGGCCATTCTAATTTCTTCCGTAGTTGGTGGATTGACATCTATAGGAAGATCTATGTGTGCTGCTTCGATGTTCGGTGGATTCATTGGAGCCGGCCTATTCAGGAGCTCTTCGAAGTATTCTACCCATTTGTTACGCTGTCGTTGAATTTCGGTGATTGGCTTGCCTTCTTTGTCTTTGACCGGCCTCTCTGGTTTACTGTATTTCCCTGATAGTTTCTTCGTTGTATCGTAAAGCTGTTTCATATTTCCTTCTCTAGCAGCTTTTTCTGCCGTCGTTGCTAGTTCTTCCACGTATTTCTTCTTGTCGGCTCTAATGCTCCTCTTCACTTGTTTGTTTGCTTCTATGTATTCAGCTTGTGCTTGGACTTTCGCTGCTCGTGTTCGGCTGTTGTTTATTGCTGCCTTCTTGTTCTTCCTTTCTTTGATCTTGTCCAGTGTTTCTGTAGAGATCCATTCCTTATGATGGTATTTCTTTAGACCGAGAACCTCTTGACACGTTGAAGTTAATGCTTCCTTGATGCCTTTCCAGTTGTCCTCCATAGTAGTTTCTTCTTCTTTCAGTAGATCTTGTAAGGCTTGGAACCTGTTGTTGAGAGCTATCTTGAATTCATTAAGTTTGACAGTATCTCGAAGGAAGGCTGTATTGAACCTTTGTATTGCTGTTTGTCCACTTGTCCAGTTCTTTTTTAGCTTCAGTTTCAAATTGGCTACAACTAGGTGGTGATCTGAAGCTACGTCAGCACCTCTCCTGGTTCTCACATCTTCCATTGTCCTTCGGAATTTTTTGTTGATGCAAATATGATCTATTTGGTTCTCTATAGTGTGGTCCGGTGAGATCCATGTAGCCTTGTGTATACGCTTGTGTGGAAATATTGTGCCTCCTATGACCAATTTGTTGAATGCACACAAATTTGAAAATCGTTCTCCATTTTCGTTTCTTTCTCCCAGTCCATGTCGTCCCATAATATCTTCATATCCAGTGTTGTCTATTCCAACTTTGGCATTTAGATCTCCCATCAGAATAGTTAGGTCCTTTCTTGGGCATTTCTCAATGATTGACTGCAGCCGCTCGTAGAACTGATCTTTGATTTCGTCGTTGCTATCATTGGTGGGTGCATAACATTGGATAATATTCATTAAGATCCCCTCCTTCTTTGTTTTGAATGATGCTTTGATGATTCTGGATCCGTGAGATTCCCATCCTACAAGTGCATTTCGTGCTACTTTGGACAGCATAAGAGCGACTCCCTGAGTGTGTGGAGCATTGTCCTCTTCGTGACCGGAGTATAGCAGCATCTCTCCCGTAGCTAGCCTTTTCTGTCCAGCTTGGGTCCAGTGGGTTTCGCTGATTCCCAGTACTGCTAAGTTGTATCTCCTCATTTCCATTGCTATTTGACTGCTCTTCCCGGTTTCCCACATTGTTCGAACGTTCCATGTACCTATAAAAATTTTTGCTCTGGTTGTTAGAAGGGGCATCGGCCTCGTGGCTTCCGAAGGAACTCGGCTTTCACCATGAAGCGTCATAATTCTTCTAAATGAAGACCTTCTAAATCCCAGGGCAGAGTTAAAATGGTTTGGATTATTTTTTCTGGTAAGCGTTTTTTTAGCGAGTTGGTTTTCTACGGGATGGGGACGCTAACCCCATGCCCAACCCTCCTCCTTTACCCGGGCTTGGGACCGGCAGCAACCCTATAAGAGCTACAGGCGGAGTTTTCCCAGCTGTTTGACAAAAGCTTAATTGTATTTATTTAATCATCCTATTGATTGTTATGCTAAATTAACGTATGATCAAGTGAATAATATCGACAGTAAATATATAGCGTCAGAATTAGATCCTTAATATCTTAGCTAAATATTTTATTACTCCAAATGAATATTACATAGTAAATACTCTTTATTTAAAGTTGAGTAATTTTGTAGGCTTGTATTTCTAGGTTCTTTCCATCAAGAATTGATGTTACCAATAAGAGTTGGAGAACCACCGAGAGCTAGAAAACACTAACCTACTGTCTCATCTTATTTGAAGATTCCACTCGGTACTATACAGAATTGAATCCAAGACTATATGTTATTGCAAATATGATTCGACCAGTAGAAATCTGACAACCATTAAAGTGAGAAATAGGATCACACACATCCCAATACCTGAAACCCTAGCACCCACGTTATGTATAATCGTCGTTATCGAAGGGGTATGGACTAAAATTAGCAGTCGATTACTCCTCGATTTTCAGCAATCTTCCAAATTACGACAGTTCATTATAATTAGCACCTAGTTTTGCCAACCGTAAAACTACCTACTCACTGTTTGTTTTCCATTTCAGATCCCAATTTCAATAGCATGTCTATCTCAAATATGCATGCCAATTATACCCACGTTGGATAATATATACTATCTAATGTACTAGATAATTGCATAGATAATGTTACAGAAGTGTTCGGTCCATTTGACTTCTCCCTGATACTTAGACTTACGATAATCCCTAACCTTACCACTATTAATCAAAACTAAGAATTCACATACTACTCAGTTTTTGTTACCTATTCATTCCTCACTAACGATTGGATGACCATACTAAAATTTTGATAATTCTGTATGTACTCACCTCTTTTTTCTGAATATACCATGTGATGGTTTATAAGAAAACGTAATATTAGAATTGCTTTACATTCCCATTTCAATTTTATTTCTGATCACTTAGATCTCCAGTCAGTTATATGTTTACATTCTGATGGAATGTTAATCCCAAACATTAAATTATTTTCTACATACATATGTACCCAGCATAAATGTTAGATTTTTACTGCACATGGTTTCAATAATTATACAGACATTGTTAGTATATTTATTTTCACTAAAAAGTGAGTATATTGTTTGTTTTACTACAGACCGGTATGAAGAATTACGATTTAATTTATCTCGATAATTCTTTTGTCGTCTGACAAGCAATGGAGTCATATAATAGTGATGGGATATTTAGTGTATGAACGGAGTTAAATATACATACTTATTCCTATCTCTGATCGTCAATGTGATTAAAGCTAGTTACGGTGTTTAGTTACCAAATAGTCAATAATACTAAGAGAACCCAATTATCAGTCATAGATAAATGGACAATGCAGATTCTGAAATATTACTTGTTTTCCGAAGCTTAAAAACATAGGTAAAAAAACAACAATTGTAATCAGCGAAATATTATGTTAGTGCTAACTCTTGTGATTCCAAAAGTGGCTTGTTCAGTTTTTTACAAACTATTCACATTCTGTAATGTGGTGGCTGAAGTGTAAAAATATAGAGTTATTTATCAACTTTGGTCCATACTGTTTGTATATAAAGGGTAGTGATACTAACCAGTAGTCAAAACCAAAGCAAGGTTAGGTTTCAAACATGCAACCTATTGCTTGAGAGTAGAATGATTTATTCCCTAAACCATCGTCCCACATTTTCTGGGGAATAAAAAGACGAAAGGCATCGTTTAATCATTAAATAAAGTCCTCTTTGCAATCAAAGGTCATATATTATCATTTGTTGTGGTTTCTGTCACTCATTGGAATGTCGTATGAAAATGAGGGAAAAGCGCATGATTTGAAAAGTGAAATCTACTGTATCTTCTCTTATTTCTTACAGCACTTTACTTGACTACCTTGAAAGAAAAACAATACACAATAGTCATCGGTCATATTCAAGGTGCATATATTTGCATTGGAATAATTAGATTGTTTGTAAATTAAGAATTCGTCAAATAAAGTGAATAAAACATAACCTCAAAATAACATATACCACTTTATAATAATCTCGAAGTTGAAAAGGTATTTTTTGCAACACAAACAATAACATTGAAAACCGTTATCACATATGATTACCACTAGTACTGGTAACAATAGTATTAAGTAATATATTATGTTGTAAAATTGGTAAGGAAACAACTGTACATAAACAATAGTAACCAAAGTAGGGAGTCAAAAAAGACTAAAATAAACAAGTTTACATTATTTATTAGAATAAAGTTATCCTCTTGAAGTATTTGGTCCAGTTCTAATTAACTTATGCCCATTCTCAACTAATTCTGATAAAGTGACACGACCACATTTTTCAATATACTGAGCAACGGCTTCATATTCATCATTTGTAATATGAATAACTTTGCCTCGATCATCCAATACCCCAGTTAACCGACCAGAAGACATAAGTGCTTTGACCTTTTCTATACAAACCTTGACAAGAAAAATAAAATTACGGAATGATAAAAACTAATGCAGAATTCCTAAAAGGTTTATGATTATTTAGCTGTATGTTAATGACACTTACAGTGACCGGGATTTATGCATTCATGTAAAACTGCTACCGGCTTCATTATGCATGACTAGCGAGCTTAAGCTATTAAAATAAAACTTATCGTTTAAAATATAATCATTTAGCTAACAAATTATCAAGAGAACTTTAAAAATTATAAATATCCACTTACAATAGCTTAACCACTCAAAACACGCAACAAAGGTAATAAAATATAACCATTCGAGGATTAAATAAATATTCGAACAACATGTAATGATATATAGTGAAAATTAGACAAACTACTGTGACTATATGAAAACCATTTCATTATCATATTAACCAACAAATGGAATGTTAGGCAACAGTATACAACATATAATTCTAAGCCTTTATGGATGAAATAAGACAAGTTCTTCGTATGATTATTTGTCTGTATTGTCCATATACCTGAAAACACAGGTAGTAAGCTTATGAAAGTTAAATTTTATTATATAACATTTTGTAATAAAAAATAATGGAGTTTAAACTCCACAGTTTATAACAGACAATAGTTACGTAACACCCAGCAAAGACAAATATTGATTGTTATTTATAATATTAAAACATTATGACAAAATATAAAGTGAAATAAGACGACTGTTAAAAGAACAGAAAGACGAAACTGAGAGAATAAAATTAAGGATAACAAGGTTTTGAGAAAACAGTGTTAGGGACCTCGAAGATGCTATGGAGAAGACACAATTACAAAACTGAAAAAACTTCAAAATCTCTTGATTTTTCCCAACCTCATTTTCTATCGTTAATATATATTCTCAAATAAAATGTGAATTGCGCTTCTACTTCTACAAAAGTGTCAAAAATCTATGCTAGAACTTTCTCTTTGTGGTGAGCTGTTGGGAACAGTTGATGACTTCATATATCAAAGTAGTTGATGACAGTGAGCTAAAAGAGACTGACTTACATACAATGAAAACCGGAGAAGTTTATTCTAATCTGGAAACCTCTCACCGTTAGTGAGGCTATGAAAGATTAGGTTGATAATCCTAATGAAAGATAAATTCACTGAGCTGATGTCCGACAACTTTTTATATTTGATCATCACTATCTCGAAATGATAGCTTCCATTCAATACCAAGTGATTCCGACTTCCCGTAACGCGTGTTGTAGATCAGTATCCATTAATCAGCAAGTATTACTAGTCTCTAACGTAAATAACGGTGGCTTTGTTCTGTTTATTGTGTCGTTCTAGCGTCTCGTAAACCCCTCATTGTTTTCTCATGCTGAGGATAAGTTTTAGAAAATAGGTGATCAGTTTGTAAAATTAAGCATAAATGAACTAGATTACCATTTACTGGTCTTAAGGATTATTCAGCCTGGAGCTCTAGATATAATCAAACGTTTCTCAGAATAAATATCTGTGGCGATCCTACTTTAATTTTTCACCAATTTTTTTAAACAATAAAATGCATATATTAACTGAATGGAATCTTTGTTTTATTCGCATCTAAAGACATTGTTTTATGGGTTTACATTTTCGTATCTTTTATATTTAGGACTATGATAGATCAGGCTTTATTGGCACATATCCATCACTAGCCGATTGCCACATTGTTTTGGTAAGATCGGATTACTCTGCTAGCCAAAATCCAACTTCAGTGGGCCCCCGAATGCCCTGGTATGGCCGAGAGTGGGGAGGGCCCGCCCTCCCTCTCGAAATGCTCTCACACGGCTACGCTTATATAGCCTCTTCCAGGGAAGTCCTACTCACTGCCTTCTCTTGGCGGGGGTGTTGTTTATGAAATTGAGAGGACGAAAAGCGAATGTCCGGTGCTTTAACCGGGCCGGTGGACAGTGAGTTCATCTAGGGGAGTTGGAAAACCCTGATTCCAAACCAATCATGTACATGAGCTCCAGAATCCTGAAGGAACAAATGGCATATCAACCAATTGTTGGCCACCGGCTACCATGAGACTGCATCTCCTCACGATGCTCCACTGCCTTGTGGGTCAGACCTTTAGATCAAAGGCTCGAGGTGTGGCTCCCTAAGAAAACCACCTGCTCCGGTCTGGGCACCCGGGCAGTATCACAGCCCACACACAAACAGAATGGAATGACGATATTTACTGAAAATACTATTCTTGGTGTGGCGGATATATATCTGGTGCCCCTTGTACCAATATTTGTGTTCAAATAAAATAATAAACTTTAGTGGAGAAAGAAGAGAATAAAAAAAGAATAGTTGATGACATATTAAGTTATTTTTAGAATTAAGTCGAACAGGGATGACTGATTTCAAGTCCTCTACTACGAAGACTTTCTGATTATTAATAGTGTAATTCATTGAGTACATATCCGTGTATTTGATTTTAAACCATACTTTTAGCGTAAAGCTCAACGATTTTACACAGTTTGCTTAACTGAAGTACAAGAAACAGAGTTCAAACCTAAGACTTGATGAGTAAAACCTAACTGTTTCAACCACTAAGCGAGCGATTCCAAAAAAAGTCCATTTTAACGATATTCCGTAAGAAGAAAAATATACCTCCGTCTTTAAATTTAAATTGATTGCCAAATGTTCGACTGGAATAATTTTTGCTTCTTCAATAGCTGCAATAATTTGTGCATTAATCATTGCTTTTGCTTTGTCATCTTGTTGTTGTACATCTACTCCTTCTTCCTCAATAATAAACTCTTGTTTTAAGCGCTCATATTCAGCTTGTTCACGAGCTGCTTCTTCTTCACGACGTTTAGCTTCAGCAGCAGCCTGTAATTAAAAGTAAATTTTATGTAAGAATCTTAAATAGTACAACAAAATGTGATAAAAACTAAACAATAGCCCAAAATTATAAATGGTAATAGAAAAAATATATTCTACAAATACATACTTGACTGTTATTGAGCAATCAAAACAATTTTGTGTACATGGGTTAACAAAACATAATACAGTTGGCCAATATAAATTTACTTCTAAATTCTTAGCATAATTAACTTTCAGCTTCAAGGTCATAGATTATACTAAAGTGGTTAATGATCAACCGGATTGCCTGTCTTTTTAATTTGTCTGTTTATTTACAGAGTCGAGTACATATTTATTTATATTTCCTGAAATTAGTATAGTCTTTTTATGAAATGTTCAGATGTTACATTAGGCAAACAAAATGATAAGGAGAGCTAAATTTTGCATCACATATAAACAAATGAATTAAGCTAGCTAGTAGACACGAGGGTTAATGTGCGATCACGGAAAATAACTTACTGCAGCTGCTGCAGCTTTTTCTTCTGCTTCTTCTGCTTTCTTACGTTTTTCAATTTCCATGTCTTCGATTTTCCTTTGGTGCTCCCTGTAACGTTCCTCAGCTTCTCGCTCTTCCTTTCGACGTTCCTTTTCAGCTAACTTGGCAGCTTTTTTGGAGCCAACTTTCTTTGAACTTTCTTTTGGATGATCTGTATCTGAAGGCTGGATGTCTACATTTTCCATGACATTTCTAACACGCCTACCGTCCTCCTCAGATTCTGAAGCATCTCTCATCCGAGCAGCCAAACGGCGCTGTCCACCTACATTCCCAATGCGACGACGCACTCTGCCAGCAGCAGCTGGATGTACGTGTGGGCGCTGTCCACCTTAAAGGAGAGAATATTTTTAATAAACACAATTGTTCCAGAGAACATGGAAAACGATTTCTCGAAACTTAAAATTCCACAGATTTTGAAACGTGGATAAACGAAATTAGACGAAATTAGAAAACCACATTAATCGGTCATATGCAACGTAGAACCTGTCACATGTGTACACTAATTAAAACCGCAACACCCTACTACCACGGTAAGATGAAATCGTCAAGAAAAATCCCAGAGTAATAGAGGTAGCAACAGCACTAGGGATGATGGAAAAAATATTAGGCTTTGAGGACATAGTTTGACACATCTTGGTGGATTTGTCTGTAATCTGATGTGATAGTAAACACCACTGCTAATAAACATCGGCTGAACATTTTACACGTTCTCAACACACTTCTGAAGCTGGTAGGCGAGCGCGGAAAGTACTTTCGTAATGAATTCAAGGTGGAATCAACTTTCTTAGTTTTCATGCCTCCATCCTTCACAATGACTAGGACATTTTCCTGCTCCTTTATGGTTGGAGAATTTAATGGAACTGATTTTGAATTCACTAATTCTGAATTGAACAAGTTACTAATTGATTTTTATTTGCCTACAATTGTTCAGAAGCCTTGAGATGGTGTGGCTACTGGAGGTTACTACATTTCAAGCACTACTAAAGCATGTTGTTTGTGTTAACTAACAGAATTATTTGAATCAGCCTGACAGACATTACCTGTTGTCTGTCCCTTAGGTTGAAAGTTGTAGTAACTCACATGATAAAAACACCTTGCTACTGCACACAGATAAACCCAAATGATATGTTATTTCTATGAAGCGGAAGTCGGATTACTTGTATGATTCTGTCGAGTTAGATATAACAGAAATGCAGGCTGGGTACAGTCAGGTGAAATTTCCGAGAATTAAGCTACTAAAAACCCCGAGTTCCCTAATTGCAAAATAGACCTGTTATCCCAACAAATTTGCACGGAATAGTTCAAGCAGTTAGTTATTGCCATCAGGTACTTCGACTCAGGGTAACAGAGCAAATTGGGATAAGTTTGATTTGAAATACTTTTCAATCTTTTAGACCACCAGAAATAAATGTAAACATAGCTAAACTGTCAGCCAATGCTACTGAAGCGACGGAGAATAAAGCAAATGTTGTCACTATGTTTGATCATCAGTCTAAAATAAACTTGGCGATGGGCTATTTAGCTATTTTTTTATTTTCTATTTTAACACATAGATATTGGTACAAGGAGGCACCAAATACATATGCGCCATACAAATATCATTCGATATGTGTGAGGGCTGTGATACTGTCCGGGTGCCCAAACCGAAGCAGGTGGTTTTCTTAGGGGGCCACTCCCCGAGCCTTCGACCTGAAGGTCTGATCCACAAGGCAGTGGAGCATCGTAAGGAGATGCAGTCCCATGGAAGCCGGTGACCAACAATTGATTCATACGCCATTTGTTCCCGCAGGATACTGGAGCCCATGTACACCATTGGTTTGGAATTCGGTTAAAGCGCCGGACATTAGCTTTTCGTCCTCTCATTTTTGTAAACAACACCCCCGCCACGAGAAGGCAGTGAGTAGGACTTCCCTGGCAGAGGCTATATACGCGTGGCCATGTGAGAGTATTTCGAGAGGGAGAGCGGACTCTCCCCACTCTCGGCCGCACCAGGGCATTTGGGGGCACTATTTAGCTAACAGTTTCCTTTATCAATTGAAGAGGAATTGGAGGCATTAGTAAAATGAGTAACTTCATATTTTAGACGGCAGTGATAGACAGGCTGGTAGAAAACCAGTTGAGAACATCCAGAAGATTAATGTAATCGAACATAATAAAACCGCACTTGGCCATAAAGTTATCGTTGATGGGGATTGCCGCAAAGTGGAGTATCACTAAGATTAGATCCCACAACAGTATAAGACTACACTTTTTTGTTTCTCATTCACAAGGTTTATTAACAGCTAAATGATTATTGCTCAATATATGTGAAAAAGATCATGCCAAAGTTTACGATACCGCATAGTTATTTACGATACCGCAGTTACTTACCGATATGACAAGTAGTGCGTAAGCGTTGTAATGGGAAAGGTAATGCAACAAATTCGCTATTAATTTGTTCCCGTTTTTAAGACACAGGCACTACCTCTCTGTAATATCACTGTAAGTTTTACCTTAATTCATGACAAATATGTAAGAAAAGTCTATAGAGAAGGGCGACAGTTAAGTGCTTTGCCACCTACATTTACACCGACTTCTCCCAAGAGGTTCCCCCAGTATCTTCCCTGTTTTTTGAGAATTTCATATCAAAATAAAACCTGCATAGATGTGAATATTGAAAATGCTAATTTTACCAAGCAGTTAGGCCCGTTTCTTGCAAAACAACAAACAACACACTTTTGCAAACTAGCGGTCAAGCTTTCTAAGAATCCCTGACGCCTTACCCGAACAAGTGGTATCAGCCCCATCAGTGAATACTTTCAAGGAAAAGCTGGACCTTCACTGAAAGCAATGTGTCATGATTAATATAGGTTCACCAACCTACTATCCTTATTATTGAAGACTGAAGACATTACCCAGACCTATTAAGAGTAATACTGTTTTCGATTATGAATTCATATAGCACTAGCCCCGTTCAAATCTGCAGGACATGGAGAAATAGTGTTGAAACGTCACCTCATGTTCATCCACTTGATACAACAGATAATCTTAATAAACGCGTATTAAGCAATGCCACTACTATTACAGAATATGATATATATAGACACTATATTAAAACGTATGTTGTTATCTGATAACTATATATATATATATATACATAAATATATATATATATAGTTATCAAACAACACCGTGTCTTCTCAATATAGAATCCCGTTTAAAATGCTGTTCGCAGGAATTTTGTATGTGAGAAATATTACCTTTTTTAACTGACTTATTATACAATTTCCAGATAATAAATACACCAGACAAAAAAATGCCGATTACGAAAACAATCCCGCCAAAAACGACCATTGGAACGTGTGTCAACCTTGAAAATCAACCGTGACGAGCGGTGCCAAAAATGAGTATTCAGCAATCCTAGACTACCCGTCTTCAACATATTTATGATCTTTACGCTAAATACCGAATTATTGTTTTGGGCTCGCATCATGATCTTCAACAAAGGTTAAAAGTCCTTGTTATGTCTCATGTGAGCAAGTCAACCTATATGTTGTAATTTTACGAATTGATTTGACAGATAACAGACAACTGATTTATTGTGAGGGTGAAAATCATCGTTATAGAGGCAAGATATAGTCATTGCGACAAAATGTCACTTGTGGTTCAATATTCAAACTTGAGGTGAGTTTCAAACACAGAATGAACATCCAGGCCCCTTCTGGTTATCAATACTTGGAACCTGTTGCCCGAAGCAGTGGTGTCCGCACCTTCAATTGACTGTTTCAAGAGAAGACTGAACATTTACAGAAACACACTAGAAAAGGAATAACATAGGCCGTAGGCCTTCTGTCCTTACAACATAAATCTGAATCTAATTAACAAGGTCAATATGTGGCTAAAAAAATGAATACATCGGTTTGTCCAGAAGCTTGAACAGGATATGTTAATTTAAAAGAGCACTTGACGATACAATATCCCCCACAAGGCTTTTAAGATTCTTCACATCTCATCGTATGTTTTTCGTTCGCAAAATAGAAACAATAAATAACGTGTTAGGTCAAGGATATTTACAAGATAATGTGAAGGTTTTCTTCATACTATCTGACGAAAGGTGAACTATAAGTGTTTAAGCTGAAGATGACACAGGTATTCAGTGTTTGACAACGCTTTTACTAGTAACACCTAATATAATTCGTTCCCACCCAGAGAAATCAAATGACAGAGTCGAGGAGATCGGAAGAGTGTATTTGGCGATTACCAATATATCGGAATCCTCTGATCTAATCTGGCTAGCGATTGCGGTAGATGTTGAGGACGGCGTTACCAAACGTGATCTGGTGCGGATGCATGACCGAGCGCCTTCAGCTAGATGAGTCCACTAAAACATATGGTCAGCATCCAATGTCGAGAACTTAGAGCTATTTATTTTGGGGATTTATTTACCGCTACAAAGCTATTAACCGTTATGAAGTAAAAATGGAAGACGTATTTCGAATTAAATTCAAGAGTGTTATAAAGGCAACCTCAAAAGTATGGAAGAGATTATTTAATTAATAAATTCTTTACTGAACAATAGATATTCTAAGTAAACTATTTTTAGAAAATGCAATTTTAATGGCGTATTGCGAAGAAGCGAGAGTAAACTGCTAGGTATGTGGAAGTGAATAAATCCTCAAAACTAATAATTCCGTTAGTCTAATACATTGATACGGACCTCGCTGATTTTGCTAGACACATTCAAGCTGAAGTAGCAAGGTCATGCGTCCGCACTACTCATCACTTGCAACAACTTGCCATCTTCGATTGAATGCCTATCAACACATCGATAACTTTTATAATAAATCTTCAGATTCCTTCATCCTTGACCTCTGATTTCACCGGGTTTATAACTTCTTGACTTCGAATCTGTTGCGGACGAAAGCATTATGAAGCCCTGAATATCCGTGGCATATTTAGTCATGTGGGGTTAAGGGATATCATTGGACCTTAGTAAAATTACGTGTCAAGCTGAACATATCCATAATTTAGTGGAAAGTTTGTAGTAGCATTATTTCTCAATCACACAATCATTGGCGTCTAGCGTAAGATAACTGAAAAGACCTATTGTGAACACTGATCACCTATAGTAGGTTGGAGATAGCTAACGCAGATTGGTTTAACTGAGACAACATGACTCAACCATCTACATGCAGTCACCCTGTAGTGACATTTTGCCCTAACCATATGACCTTTGAAGCCGAGCATATAATTACTGAAAAGATTTATATTCAACAAATGACAGGAAGAGAAGGTCAGCAATGGGGGAGGTGGTAAGCAAGGATGAATTCAGTTGCATGGAATGACTCAACCTCGCAGACGTGTTGTTTCCGTACAGTTTGTCTTTACTCAGATTAAATATATTATTCTATCCATAGCCTAATTGTGTTCTTTACAAACTCCAGACATCACGTTGTTAATTGTTATAATGCGATGGGTCAGTGTATACAATGATTTGGCTTTCACGAAGATCTTCAAAATTAGGCGGTTACATGACGAATCTAAAATTTCAGAATTAGGTTCGTTACTAGAGCAGCATGAATAACGCAGTAGACCATAATTATACAGCCCTATGTAATCTCATGTTATAATCCCCATCCAACATATTTTCTCCAATATTTCTTCGCAGCAATCGCTGACGGTCACAATAGGATTAGTCAGCAAACATATTGATGTGATTCTCACGTAAGGTCTGATATATCAGGTAGTCCAATCATGACAACTCCTTCATTTTTGATCCGGTTCATTAGTTTACTGGAGTAGACGTCAGTAATACTAACCTAGACATTGATACAACGGATTCACCGCTGGATGAATTATGACCCAAGTTTCACCAAAATCAGGAATAGCTAATGCAGATTTATTGGTATATGCAGCAGAAATGGATTATGTGGTTGCTTGGCCACCGTTTTATTCACTTCACACCAAAAGTAATTCCTTCCGGCTCCCTTTCAGGCCGAAGTAGCTGCTGGGGCCGGTTGGCTCTCATGGACAAGAGTTTGGTCTGGCGATTTTTGTCTTATTTCCTGCCATGTTATGATCTACCATCTATATACCACATGGCAGTGATTCATTGTCCTTCTAACAGCCGACATATAGGCACTTCTGTAGGTCATTGTTGGCACTGATTGTGTCTGAGCTCCTTCGGTTGTTTGACTTGTGTCTACGTCTAATGTCTATGGTTAGGTGTTGGACGAAACTTATGTTATATGGGGATGGGATGAAATGGTATATTTTTGGGCCATCCGGTTGTTCTGTAAATTCCACGAAGATATATTTGTGGCATCCTTGGAAGGTGGTCCTCTTGGTTTCTATCACTTATGAAATGTTTACTCGCTTCTTCAATGGCCCTAATATTCTCTTGAAATTACTGTCAGTGCTTTCAGATGTAATGTGTCATATTACTATTATTTTGGTGCTGTGATCATCCAGATATATAAGTCCTATTTTATTGTGTTTGATAGCCATTCTGGTAGTTGTCTTAAGTAGCTTTGGTTCGAGTTGGTATAATGTTGTTCTCATCATCTGTTCGGCGTTTTAAAGACCTTATTATTAAAGTATCTGGTCTTTCATGTATTAGACTACATAGGTTTCACCTATTTCGGGGTGTTTTCGTTGCCAGGTCAAGTGAAGTTCAATATTTGTGTTTCTATAATGTTTCGAATTATTTGAATTATAGTACGAAATAAGAGTCCTAGAGGTAACACAATTGAATTAAGAAGTAAGACACAAGCACAAGCGAATGTACTGTATTTGGAATTCAAAATCGTGCAATCAACAAGTACAAAAGTATCATTAGTTCGTTCAAACACCACAGTTTCTGGTTAACTTCTAGTTGTTTTGATTCGTTAATACCTAGCATCATTCGTCAAACAGTGTTGAAAAGTTTATCTTGATATGTTCTAGAGATTTTTTTACGAAAGTGAACTCTATTCACCAGGTTATTGAGGATGTCATTTCAATTTTTGTCCGGATGCTGATTTTTGTGGGGCTCAGCATCGGGTTGATTTTAATAACTGCAGTTTTGGCCCCGCCAATTTTAATCTTGTTTCCACCGTCAGATACTCCTGTCACGTCTAAATTTCGCTCTAGTGAGTTGTTGAAGCACGGTCAACTGATTTACGACCCAAATAACAAGATGACTAGATTCCAGTACATGTATCAAAGTTTAATCATTTATTACAATCACTCATCCCAAATGTATTATTTTATTAATTATTATAACAGATGCCCAACAAGCCTTCAAGTCTTAGGTTTACGGGACAAAACTTCCAAAGTAACAAAACGAAGCAGAGTGAAAGTATAAATATCTGAGGTCAAGGTTATAAGCAAACAAGTTCATAATTTGAGTATAACAAACAAATCAAGAACATATGGAGACTGACAGTGTTCAGTATATCAGTTAATATTCAGTCAAACACTTTCAGTTCTTTCTGTAACAATTCCGTCGTTTACCATCATTGACTGTAGTTGAAAGAGGTGACTTCCTAAAGTTTGTGGTTGTCTATGACTGTTTTAAGATTGTCAACTTCTTTATTAATTATTATTGTCTTTGTTTTTTCATAGGGTAATTTGCATACATAGCTCCTTCATGTGAAGTTGAAGGCAACGTAGGCCTGTGTTTGCTCCAGTAGTGGTAATTAAGCCTTATTCACAGACATATTCCATGTGTGATAAATTCCATTTTACAGTGCTTTCATCTATTAGTTCCGGACCAATTGTTATTTGGTCTATCGTTGACTTGAGAATTACTCGAGAGGCTAGGTTGAGTAAAGCATTGGTTGTTGACTGAAGTTCAGCCTTGTAGAAGGGCAGTTTCCATATGTTGCAAGTCAGCTTTTCTAGTTCAATTGTGTGGACTTCGAGGCATATTGTCTTAGGTCCACGGGTAACTATAGTTTGTAAATCTACTGGACTGGATTATGGACGTTACCATATGATGGTCTGAAATTCTTTCTGTAGATGAACTAGCATGTGTAGAATAATGGGAGTTTTACCTTACTTACAGTTAGTATAATATCGATCACGTGACTAACTGATGTGCCGATGTGTCTCATGTATTTTGCTTTGTGTTAGGTCTACAAGATCATATAAGTCGACCTCTTGGATAGCCATTGGTGAGATTTTGGTTTCAGTAACAGTGAACCTCCCCATGACGTCTGAGCTATTGTTGATAAGCTCTGTTCCTAGGCGACAGTTAAAGCCTCTAATATGTGATCTGATACTCCAAGGATTTGGGCTTTATACCGTATATTGTGGTTCGAGAACAGAAAATCTTCAAGTGAACGTTGAAGATAAATAACGTTTTTACTTCTAATTGTTGTTTCTCCTGTCCCCTCTAGACAACGATAGGCATAAACCTAAATGTAAGGAGAGTGATCTCGTAAATAGTCAAATATCTGTAAAATGTGTATACTTTATAGGCATTTTTATGTTCCCATAGTAACACCTAGTAACCAAACTGTTGTCCTTCAGTTTACAGGAGTTTCGTTGACAGATAACATATGAGCTATGAAATTTGCACAGAAGAATACAGAAAACCTAAAATTTTGGACGGAAATAGGGGACTAGGTACACAACTGCTGATGCAAAAACAAGTAGTAAGCAATTGCACAATATAAAACTGTCCATAGGTCTGGTTATTCTTTAAATTTAGTGGCACCAACGAAGGCTCACACACGCAAAATAACCTACTTCAAAAAACTCGAATCGTTAACATAACGAACAGATCAACAAATATATTACTCAAAAGACGAATAACTTACAATTCACTAAATCGGTATATCGAAATCAGTAGGCTGATAGATTAGTAAATCGATAAGTTCGTTCTCTCTATTCTCAATGTTATGTCCTGTCCTTGTTTATAATGCGATATGGAAACAAGTTAGCCTGTCCATCAAGTCAGGCTAGAACAGGCTAAATAATGATTTTATGGCATGACTTCGACATGAGATTGTTTAAGCTACCACGCAAAACATTTGAGTTTCAATTGAGTGGACGGCCATTATCAGACTCACTGAACACAACCAAATACATGGTATCGTACAGAAAAAAACAAGGGAGCGCAAAGAAATAAACCGATTCATACAAAGTCATTGGATTCAAACGAATTCGAGAAATTTACAAAAACCATAATAGACCCAACTACTATGAATACTTTTCCTATTTGTTAAGAAAGCCTTTAAGATAATGTGCGGCATTCCACTGGTCCTTTCCTAAGTATACTGACCTAGTTAAGTAAAACCGAACCCTAGCCAAATAATCCGTCGAAATAAATGTAACCCTATTCACATTAGAGAGTTACCACTCTGTGATAAGTAGTTAGTATGTAACCAGTGATCACTAGTTTAGGTAGCCGTCATGGATGGTCAGGTTTTAGTGGGTTAGAACGAAAATGGTGTATCCTCGCTTATCTCAAAGTTACACCTCATGGTTGACACATATAACCCAGATTATACTGTCTTAGTATCCACATACTGAGAGTGCAGTGATGACTGCATAGAAAAAGGCAGTTTTGCCAAAAACAATGTATCATAGGAAAGTATTGAAGAAGCACATATTCGACCCGCTGCCACATGAACCGGTCCATGGCATGCAGTTGATTAGTTGACCTTGATAGGTTCAACAAACAACTCAACATCCATTGATCTGTCTGATTTGGCTAGAACTAAATAACAATTTATTGGCACTAAATGTTAATTCAGTCTAATCAATATCAAGGATAACCAACACAGATAGATTATTCGAACTCATGAGTTTAGCAGCCTTGTCGCTAGTTTTGTTTTACCCACTTTTATGCCTACCTTACAAGTGTAATTACTGGCCAGAAGTGTTATCACTAACTCCTAAATTAGGCAAGACTAGTGGAAATGATCATTTGAAGTAATTTTAATAGAGAACATGAAGGGCATGGAGTAATTCTTAAGTATCGGGATATAAATGTGGAGCGAACTATTTATACTAAATAACCACAAACATTAGGAGCCTGTTAAATCCAAGGATATTCTTACTCAATGTTCTAGTTGATACCCATAAGCACCTTTCAGGTAGTAATTACAGACTAACTTTGCGGAAGCATTTACGGAAATGTTGTCCATGGGTAATTCACGTAGACAGATCTCAAGAAAAAGTTTAACCTACAGCCACATCACATGCGCAAGTCTGATATAGTCATGCGAGATATGATTTGGCTCGTAGCATTCAGTAGGGAATAATTAGCCGACTAAAACTACGCACCCGCCTTTTGTAGTAGTGCATTTATTCATCTTAGAACGGACACACTTGTAAGACAATATGAAGAGTATTTAAAGTATAATGTTAACTTGGGTAGACAATTTATAGTTTAAACTGTTTTTGGTCAACTGTCGACTTTTCCAGCCCAAAATACACAGATTTGACCAAACAGGAAGTAATTAATGCTGGAAAATTGACTTTATGCTGTGTTGTTGCCAAACAATTGCACAACCATCCAATTAATTTTAGGTCTGTAATGAGCTGTCACGTGTATTCGAAGCAATGAACCACAATGGTGACCTAACCGACTTCTAGCTTATAAGTACATTACTTTGAAGCAATATAGATAAGTATAAAAATCAAAATGGGACAACTTACGTCGTTGTAGATTGCATAAAGATAAACTTTGCAGTTAGAAAAACATACTACACAGTCAAACTTTGTAGAAACACCTAAATTAACCTGTATTGTAAGATGAATCTTGAAGACAACCAGAGAGGTAAAGACAACAGAATACTAGAACAGAATCTGTTAATATTTTATCAAATTAAATGTATTTACAAAACAATTTGATGTTAAAAATTATGTTAGTTAGATGAAATAGTTCCCAGCAAGCTTCTAATTTCTGGTGTTATTTGTGGATGTTCATGACGGCGACATAATTTAAGTAACTTTTCACGCTGAGACGGGTTAACACAATGCCTATAAAACTCCAAAAATACCAATAAGCTTTTGAACCAGGTCAGCGGCATACGCTTCTCATCGGTGAAGTAAACAGTGCAATCTTTATCAAAACTAAAATGGAAAAGGTATAAAAGTAATTTAGATTATAAAACCGATATGACAATTCATTGATAATACTGAAGATATGCATAAAAGCAAGTACAATTTAGAGATCATTACAACAACACATTTTTGTAACGGGTAGTGATCAAACAATCTTTTACCTCATTTTAACTATACATATAAAATAATGAACATTCATATCACCACTAAAAACATAAACCGAACATTAAGGTAAAATCCTTTGAGCCAACAATTTACTATTAACTAAGAGGGGAAAAGGATCCGCAAACGACCTACATGGTTATAACTAGATAACCATCTATGTATTCCAAGGTCAAGCGATTTTTACGACTGTGATACTAGTCCTCTGTCGCTTTCCTTCGCACTACAGTACAGAAAAACTTTCACTTTATATCCCTTCATAAACCACGATTGAATAAAAAGTTTATACAAATTTTTAAATTACTTTCTTATAAATCTATACTGAAATATTCATACGTTAACATGTATCAAAGTATAATTATTAGTTGAGTTTCTTTTTAATACTAATAATGGTGGTGAATACTAGTGGAATCATAAAAGTAGCTCTTGTTTGATTATTAAATTTGTCGAAATTTGAAGTAACAACGTAACAGTAAGTTTCAGTGCAGTATGCAAGAACATTAACAGTTTGAAAAAATGTACACTGAAACTAACGACTATCAAGTAGCACTACTTTCCCAAGACTATACGAATATAATCAAAGGTAAAATTCAAGCATTCATACAACCAGTCTAGAAATAAAAAAGGTGATCATTTTATTTAACCCAATAGTTAAATCACTAATTAGAATAAGAAATTATCGTGAGATTATCGTCGGCGAACAAAACTAATTGCACTTTTGACAAAAAAATTATATTTGTTCACTTATTTTAATCTTGAAGTAACTTAATAAATGGCTATAACTCACCATCACCATAAAACAAGAACTATTGTAAACACGAAAAGATCAACCTGCCTACCTGTTGTCTATTTTCAAAACTGTGAAAATATTGCGATTAAACTAATTGTTTTATATTTGAAAATATTATGAATGTTAACTGTATGCATTCCTGCGCTATGAGAAAAGGGTTTTTATGATAGTAAACACTGGAAAATTCACAAAAAAAACACCAATTCACGGCACATTTTACGTTCTGTCTATCCTTTGACAAAAGGAGAGACAAAAATATCGAAGTTGAAATAATTCATATAAATGATGGCTGGAAAAATAGTTGTGGTATTATTTAACTGGTACAAAACTTTAATGATTTAATGCAGGTGGAAAGTAGTGGGTTTTTAAAACGTTTTGAATTATAAAACAAATCTTTAAATTTACAGGCGGTTTTTATCACATATTGTTATCTGCTAGGATAACATCAGAAACTAAAGTGTAGTGGATAGCTGTTTCGTTCTAGTAAGGATATCTAACAATGATGTAAACAGGGAACTCCGCCTGGAGTCCCTGTGGGGGCTACTGCCGGTCCCAAGCCCGGATAAAGGAGGAGGGTTGGGCATGGGGTTAGCGTCCCCATCCCGTAGAGAACTAACTCGCTAAAAAAACGCTAACCAGAAAAAATTATTCAAACCTTTTAAACTCTGCCCTGGGGGTCAGAAGGTCTTCATTTAGAAGAGTTATGACGCCTCATGATGAAAACCGAATCCCTTCGGAAGTTACGAAGCCGATGCCCCTTCTGACAACCAGAGCGACCATTTATTTAGGTACATGGAATGTTCGTACAATGTGAGACACCGGGAGAGTCTTCCAAATTGCTACAGAAATGAGAAGATACAATCTAAAGGTGCTTGGGATCAGTGAAACACATTGGACGCAAGTTGGACAACAACGACTAACTTCAGGAAAACTCCTGTTATACTCCGGCCATGAAGAAGAAAATACCCCACATACACAAGGAGTTGCATTGATGCTGTCCAAACAAGCGCAAAATGCGCTTATAGGATGGGAATCTCATGGACCAAGGATCATCAAAGCCTTCTTCAAAACGAAGAAAGAGGGCATTTCAATGAACACCATCCAATGCTATGCACCTACCAACGACTACAATGAAGACGCTAAAGATCAATTCTACGATAGGCTGCAGTCAATCATCGAGAAGTGCCCGACAAAGGACCTGACTATTCTGATGGGAGATTTCAATGCCAAGGTTGGAACGGACAACACTGGATATGAAGACATCATGGGACGACACGGACTGGAAGAAAGGAACGAAAATGGTGAGAGATTTGCAAACCTATGTGCCTTCAATAAGCTGGTCATAGGCGGCACCATATTCCCACATAAACGCATACACAAAGCCGCATGGACTTCACCGGATCACACCACGCAAAACCAAATCGACCATATTTGCATCAACAAAACGTTCAGGAGGACTATAGAGGACGTGAGAACCAAGAGAGGAGCTGATATAGCATCAGATCATCACTTGCTGGTCGCCAAGATGAAATTGAAACTCAAGAAGCACTGGACAACTGGGCGGACGATATCACAAAAGTTCAATACGGCCTTTATTTAGGATACTAACAACAATACTAGCAACAAGTTCCAGACCTTTCATGATCTACTCAATGGAGAAGGGACTACTATGGAGAGCAAATGGGAGGGGATCAAAGAGGCAATTACTTCAGTATGTCATAAGGTCCTGGGCCACAAGAAGCACCATCACAAGAAATGGATCACTGTTGATACACTGGATAAGATTCAAGAAAGGAGGAACAATAAGGCAGCAATCAATACAAGTCGAACAAGAGCAGAAAAAGCCAAGGCACAAGGTGAATACACAGAAGTAAACAAACAAGTGAAGAGGAGCATCAGAAATGACAAACGTAAATATGTGGAGGATTTAGCGATAACGGCGGAAAAGGCTGCAAGAGAAGGAAACATGAGACAATTGTATGACACGACAAAGAAACTCTCTGGAAATCGCCGCAAACCAGAACGACCAGTGAAAAGCAAAGAGAGCGAGGTAATCACCAACATTGAAGAGCAACAAAAAAGGTGGGTAGAACACTTCAAAGAACTCTTGAATCGACCAGCTCCACTGAACCAACCCAACATCGAAGCAGCACCCACAGACCTCCTAATCAATGTTGGCCCACCAACAATTGAAGAAATCAGCATGGCCATCAGACAAATCAAGAGTGGCAAAGCAACAGGACCAGACAACATTCCAGCAGAGACACTAAAAGCAGACGTAGAGGCAACTGCAAGGATATTCCACATTCTCTTCAATAAGATTTGGGATGAGGAACAAGTACCAAAAGACTGGAAAGAAGGACTCCTGATCAAAATACCGAAAAAAGGCGATCTCAGCAAGTGTGATAACTACAGGGGCATCACTCTTCTCTCGATACCGGGAAAAGTCTTCAACAGGGTACTGTTAAACAGGATGAAGGACTGCGTAGACGCCCAACTTCGTGACCAACAGGCAGGATTCCGTAAGGATAGATCGTGTACAGACCAAATCGCAACTCTACGGATCATTGTGGAAAAATCAATTGAATGGAATCCATCACTCTACATCAACTTCATTGACTACGAAAAGGCATTTGATAGCGTGGACAGAACAACACTATGGAAACTCCTTCGACACTACGGCGTGCCTCAGAAGATAGTCAATATCATACAGAATCCCTATGATGGATTAAACTGAAAAATCGTGCATGGAGGACAGTTGATAAAGTCGTTCAAAGTGAAGACCGGTGTTAGGCAAGGTTGCTTACTCTCACCCTTTCTCTTTCTCCTGGTGATCGACTGGATTATGAAGACGTCAACGTCTGAAGGGAAGCGCAGCATACAATGGACATCTAAGATGCAGTTGGATGATCTAGACTTCGCAGACGATATGGCCCTTCTATCCCAAACGCAACAACAGATGCAGGAGAAGACGAACAGTGTGGCAGCAGCCTCAGCAGCAATAGGTCTCAATATACACAAAGGGAAAAACAGGATTCTCCGATACAACACAGAATGCACCAATCCAATCACAATTGACGGAGAAGATTTGAAAGATGTAAAAACCTTTACATATTTGGGCAGCATCATCGATGAACACGGTGGATCTGATGCAGATGTGAAGGCGCGGATCGGCAAAGCAAGAGCAGCATATTTACAACTTAGAAACACATGGGACTCAAGGCAACTGTCAACCAACACCAAGGTCAGGATTCTCAATACAAATGTCAAGACAGTTCTACTGTATGGGGCAGAAACCTGGAGAACTACGAAAGCCATCATCCAGAAAATACAGGTGTTTATTAACAGTTGTCTACGCAAAATACTTCGGATCCGTTGGCCGGACACTATTAGCAACAACGTACTGTGGGAGAGAACAAACCAGATCCCAGTGGAGGTAGAAATCAGGAAGAAGCGCTGGAAGTGGATAGGACACACATTGAGGAAAGCACCCAACTACGTCACAAGACAAGCCCTCACATGGAATGTTCAAGGTCAAAGGAAAAGAGGAAGACCAAAGAACACCTTACGCCGAGAAATGGAGATAGACATGAGAAAAATGAACAAGAATTGGATGGAACTAGAAAAGAAGGCCCAGGATAGAGTGGGTTGGAGAATGCTGGTCGGCGGCCTATCCTCCATTGGGAGTAACAGGCGTAAGTAAGTAAGTAAGTAATGTAAACAGGGATCGAAACTGGGTCTGATTATGAGCGCTTAACTTTTGGGTAATCATATATTTTGCCACTCAATAAATTCAAAATACCGAAAAGTGCACTGACTACGAGGGAAGCATTAACATCTTATGTTATTATTCGATAAGAGTGAAAAAGTATTTTATTTCACAAAATTTACGAAAGTAAAACACACTATAGATGAGAAAAGTATGTACATATACTAAAAATTAAACGGCTTACCTAATAAAATAATCGATAATTCTTTGGACAGCGGCTTCTGGTAAGTGATACTTTTTAGTTAAAAATGTCTCAATAACCATTGATCGAGGAATGCTGAAATCTTCTTCTAATGTAAGAGCAAGAGCGACTGCAGCAAAACGTGATTTTAACGTCGCTCTTTTAATTAGATTGGACAGGATTACACCTTCAGTTTTAGAAATCTCCGACTAAATAAGTAGCAGATATACAAAGAGGAAATGATTGATAATTGAAGAATTAATAAAAAAAAATGTATATCGGTTCACAAAAATAATAAGTTTTGTGACAAGAATCAATCCAATTGTTGATAAGTAAAACAGTTTTAATAGAACAGAATAAATTTTAATAAGCGGTTTTATAATTAGTTACATAAAGATTCTTCGAAAGCAACGACAGCTTTTGATTGAAGTTAATTGTCTTGTGCTGAAAGCAATATGCCTAAAGAGATACACTTGATATGAGAGCGTATCTAACGTGGTTAGATATATTTAGTATAATTCAGGTATGAAAGATTTCAGGGACCAGTTATGAGTTGTATATGCAAGCACAAATATTATTTGAAGTTTAGTGAGTGTCCGGATCGAAATAAGTTAAATACAATGAGAACCTATAACACGAACTAATAAACTGTAATACAACAGATATATTTAATAGTCTATAATAGAGATATTCGAAGTTAGTTAGTGCGGTGTAACCGAAAACTGAATACAAACTGTTCTAGACGGTGTTAAACAGTGACTTGCGAAATGTTTCAGTCATCAAAGTATGTTATCAAGTAATCTGTTATTTTCTAAAATTTACTTTCAAATCAATAACTTCTGATACCGAATGCTAGCAATTATTTTGAAGAATACGCTGTCCCCGTCAGGCGGAGTTTTGTCACCTTCACTACAAGACAAAATCGAAACGTTCACTAGTTGATATGTTCACTACGTATTCTAGAGGCTTGATGGCACCTGAAAACAAGTCTAACAGACAAACTGTAGAATGGAGAAAAATCCATTAGTTACCCTTAGTTTCTACAACTTACCTGATTAACATTTACTTGTGATTAAGTTAATTTTAAAAAGACTATAGATGGTGATTCAAAACAGAATAAAATTCTCAGTGATGCCGTTCTGTAGAAATGAGAATTTTCAACAACTTGTTAACTATAGATTAGATTCCAGTACATGAATCTGGACTCGATTACTAGATTGCAATAAATCTTCCACTTTAAATTCAATTTTGTACGTAGTTTCAGAAATGTATTTCCGAATTTCTATGAAGGATTTTGAAGCGAGTGAGAAATAAGAGTTCAGTTACCATAAAATTTATTTTGTATTGTTTATTTGAACCTTCCCATTGGTGTTTAGGACTGTAATTGATCAGTCCCTTATTAGTATATGTGCATCCTGTACGGATTGCCTCGATATTGCCACGCTCATTCTAAGCAAACATGGATAGTGACTATCACTGGAATCCACGACGCGCGTTTCGTTCTATTTGAGACTTGTCACCTGGATGTGATGTGCCTGAATACCAAAGTTGATATTCACTCCAGGAATCGAACCAAGTATCGTTCGCTTCAAATGCCATCCTGTTATCCACATAGTTACTGAGTCCTGACGAAACGCGCGTCCTGGATCCCACTGCTAAGCACCATCCATCTTTGCTTAGGACTATTAATCTAAAGTTTGATGTATATATGAAGTAACACAAGTTGCTACATAAAGTTGGCACTAAGAGATAAAATTAGCAAAGGAATCAGAATAATGTATCAGCAGTAATAATCAAAATAAAAAAGAGGATATGACTCGAAAAAACAGTATAAAGTAGGTATGTAAAAACGAATATTGTAATTCAGGATCTAGAGGAGATAAAGAGTGAATGTATTAACACTACTGCTTCTAAGAATGTGCAAATAATAAAAAACTAACGTCTATGAACAAACTGTAATCGCTGAAGTATCTGTTTCACTGAATTACAGCATCAACTTTGAGTTCTTTCTTTTTTTTTAAAAAAAGAAACATTATTATGGGAAAAAAATTTACCTGAACCCAAGGTAGATAGACACCAGAAACGAACTCTTCTGGTCGAAACATAGATGCAATTAATGCTTCATATAAATGAACACATAAACGTTTGTTTTCTTCAATATCTTGCTTTACTTTAGGTAATAGATAAGATTCATAAAAGCTGAAAGGGAGAAAAGTCATAAGACGGAGAACTTCAGTTTAAATCACTATGGAACAGTGTAAGGATTGAATTTTGAAGTTTATTTCTTGTAGTTTTAACAAACATAGATTCATAGATATCGATAGCTAGAATTGGCCCAATTCACATCTTAATAATACAGTGAGGAACTTTTAACATGTGAATGGAGTATAAACATTTCATAGACTGACACTCAATAAATATCCATACATCTTGAAAACTTCAGCTACTCTGGATGTTATTATGATTAATATACAGATTCTTAAAATATACAACTAATAATTAGATAGAAAAGCTGATTTATATCAATGATTTACAGACTGAATACTGAAGAAAGTTTTTGTTGAGATCATGATATTGATCACAATATTGAGCTACCATCTGCTGTCTTCGGTGGATAACTGCCTCATACCCGACACAGTTGAACTCCACTGACCACGTAGTATCGTGGATCGATTGAAGTTAGACATTAACACCGTTGGATACTGGCTTAGTGGTCTCGCAAGCCCAAAGGTCCTGGGTTTAGTACTCACATGCGGGATCGTGTATCTGCACTGCTGTGGAGTCCCATACTAGGATGAAGAGGTTGTCCAGTGCTCCCACGTTTTCACCGGTGGTTTAACACTGATCGGTACACGATCTGGATAAAAACTCCATCTCCATGACCTTATACTGATAATTCAAGAAAGTAATGCACAGCTAGTTACTCCCACCATAGAACTAAATAACATTGTACACATTTTATTTTCCTTTATTCGGATCTAGAAAATGTTTGGAGAGTCGTCCAGTAAGTCCTATTCAAAGTACAAGCTAAGTACTTGACATCAATGGTCAATGAACGAAATATAGATTTGTTTTTGTCCGTAACCAGAAAAGGATATACATGGTATACGATAGAAGTAGTATACCCCAGATTACGTACACACCCTACAGAACACGATTTAATCAAGCTTAACTAATTCGAACTGAATTCAAGAAGTGATCGGTTAAAAATAGAGAAGGCTTAGTAACAAACTCGTAGTTACTAACTATACATAAATTAAGAAAAGTAACCGGTCAAAATATTTTCTATCCCTATAACTTCATAACCATTGGATAATCTTGATTAATAAAACCATTGAAGTCTCACACTAGTAGCCAAATATTACTAGTCATAACAGATGTTTTCCTTTAGAATGAATACAATAACTTCTATTTAAAAATATATCAATACAAATAAGTAGATGCTATGAAGAAAAAGAATATTTTTGAACCTCGTCACAAGAAAATGAATGTACACAGTTTTAAATATATTAAAAACATTTTATTTGCTCATTCCTTCCAAATTTCGGAAAACATTTTTAGTAAGCAAATGAGAATGTATTTCTCTACATTAATCATTTACATAAAAATAGATCAATTGAATAAATATTAGTGATGCAGAAATCTTTCAATAAACACATATATTAGAACTTCAATTCACTTGGTTTGGTTTGATCACTAAGGTAGTATTGCTAATTCTTACAAATAATGAGGTTTAAAAATGTCCGAGGTTGACAAATGAGTCATATTATTAGAAATGTTGAATTAGTTTTTAAAATGGCATAAGTAGAAAAATGCTATTTATGAATGTTTGAACAAATTCTTTTTAAAAGGATCATTACCAAGGTTTCGTTTGAAATTTCAAATAAACTGAACATTAGGTAAATTTATAAGCAATGATGGATGGTGGTTATCAGCGGAATTCAGGACGCGAGTTTCGTCCTATTTGAGACTCGTTAGCTGGATGTGATTTACCTGCATTCCAGAGTTGATTTTGTTAATAATGAAAAATAATGGTATGTTTGTGAATATACTAATGAGTAAATAATTAGATTTTCCGAAGCTTTGTGGCTCAATGTAAGCCATTTCTTTTTAATGACTGATGAAAAGTCATAAAATTTAACTGTTCACTCATTAGTATATTTATAAATATATCATTATTAAACACATTTGAAGTTTAATTTAGTGTTTCCATAGAAAAATTTTAAAACAGACTTGATTTAATCAAAATATAGACATTAATTAACAATTTAATTAGGTAGAAAAACAACTATTTAAAGAATATGAACAAACAATTAGTTAACAAATTATACCGATAAAAATTTACAAAATCTTACTGATTTGCTGGTTCATGACCTTTAGATGCAAACACTTTAACAATACGTGGATATACATGAACTGACCATTCTAATGGTTTTAACATCTCTAACAGACTATCCCATCCCTCTAAATGTGGTAACATTTTGATTGTTTTTGGTAATGGTCCACTTCTGTAACTTCTAAGTACATCAATTAAAAGATTTAAGTGATCCCGTAGTTCTTCAGGAAGTTCATTTAAACTTTCGAATCCTCTTACTTCATCCAAATCACCAATAATACTACCAGTGTACTGAGACATATCTTCAGAAATCTAGAACAATGAATGAACAGAAACAACAATGATCAATAACAGTTTCGTACTTAATTTTTTGAATAATAATATTTCGTTGTGAATTTAACTTTATAGTTATATTTTTTAAAAAGATGCTATTCCATAATCGAGTTCCTTAAATTAGTTTCATCAAAGTGAATACGCATTTAACATCAGTTACCGTCATTTTTTTATCTAAATGTATTTGCATGTAGTCGCCAAAAGATAAATGGTACAAAAATGGACAGGTGACTGTTAACTGTTTGCTTCTTTGAACATGTCCCCAAAGTAGAAAAAACGCTATCGGTCATTCATTAATGCAGTTCCATATCAAATAAGAAATTCGATAATATAGTGTGGATACTTTGTTATTTTCACAATAAGTTACTGACTGAAAACATCCATATTTTTTATTTATCGGACCGAGTTTAGTCAGACGATTTAAAACTGAATTCTGGAGGAAAACAGCTTGGGTCACCTTATTTTCATGAGGTTAAATTCTTGTTAATTGATATATAAAAGACTGCTTAGTGAAATAGGGTACCAAGAAATGTATTATACAGGACGGTTTGCATCATCCGACAACATTAATTTTTCCTGATTCTTCGCTCAGACGCGTGACTACTTTGGCTTACTAAGACTTCATCTACGCTATCGCGACAGTAGCGCAAACTATACCACCTGAATGAAATATGCATTCCACAACGACTTCCTAGTCAGATTATAAACATCTAAAACTTAATTTACCGGAGGAATCCATCTACGCTTATTATTTTGATTGTGGGAAGACTAGTGTTAGCGCTATATACATTCATGTTTTCATTCTCACCAAGCTGATTATTTAATTTACACATGGTCTTTGGAGGTACTTGAGGCTCCTCGGAGTAAGTATACTTATGGATGACTTCGCACACTTCATCTGCAGGTGACTGAATTTAAGACGTTATTTTACACTTTCAGGCTACATGGTGGTGAGACTGTCAACGACTATAGACGGCATCTGGAGGAAGTGGCTGTGTTCCTTTTCTTTGTCCCCTCTCGTTGAGGGGTTTTGGTGTGGTGAAATATCTAACCACACAAACAAGTAAGGATAGGTTAGTATGGCAGAACAAAACGTGCCCTAATTAAGACATATCACAAACAAGACAGGTTAAAAGAAAACCGATGAGTGCCTGAATAATAAAAAAATCATCTATCGATATGATCTTGTTCAACTGAATAGCAATTTTGTGTAGAACAATATATTAACAACTTACTTCAAATATTGACAGCTATAACCAGACTAATAACAAGCAGTCTAACTAATCTTTTTGTTCAGTTAAGAAGACATATTTCCTTTCTTCTATAGTGAAAGATACAGCTCAGCTACGAATATAGAATACTAAACTTTCCTTAAAATGAGGACAGAATGATGATTAAATTTGTGATGGTCTGTACTTATCTCTGTTTACTGTGCTGAGTAACTCTAATGTAGAAGATAAAACTAATGACGGTTAAGTATTCCTGCAAAATCTTCACAAAAGGAACACGAAACAATCCATCTTATTCATACACTGGAAACGGAAGTTGGCCATTACCATACAAACATACCATTCATATTATCAACCCTTAATTTACCTTCAATTTTGATTCAGTCAAATTTTTTTTAAGTTCTGTCACCAGTTCCTTGTTGTCGCTGGTCGATTTGAAAAACTTCTTCCAATCTTCATCATCTTCTAAAACGTCACCACTACATGAATCCTATGGATAGATGAGGAGTAATCTGAGAATGTATATATAATCACGTACGAAATCAGGAAGATCAAGTTGGAATCCTCCTTCCATCTCACATTCTTCACTATCAGACTCTGACTCTATAATTGCAGCGTCATCGGTTAGGGATTTTGAAACAACTAATCTAAGAAATAATAGGAATTAGAATTGTTGTGCAAACTTTTCTTCATCAATATTTTCTCGCATTAGTTTGCGAATTTTCGACACATCACGAGAACAGAGAACCTACATAATAATCATTAACAGGAGAATAGATACGAACATTTGAACTATCAACGGATCGCTTCTTTGTTTTTGCCATTTTTTGAAGAAATTCACTGATGACAAAAATAGACCTAAAAGTTTATACAAAGAATTAATCGTAGGAATTTGTCAACTAACACTTTAGAATATTTATGACAAACAGAAATTTCGCATTATGACAACGATTCAGTAACTAAAAATGAAAGCACTGTTTACTATCAATAACGCGACACGATTCCGACAAAAAACTAGGTGGATGTAACAGATAATGAACTACTAGAACACGTATCAGGGAACTTTGATGAAATTATTAAAGGAACACTACAGTTTTAGAGTACTAAAAAATACTAATTAAAGCCTCTTACTGTCTTCAACTAACCTTAAAGATTTTTAGCGAATTTTGTAAGTGCTAGGAGCATTAGTACTGTCATATATCTATGTTCAATCAATTTAAAGTATAACAAATGTGTATCGATTACTACAACTGCTCTGGTAGTCATATTAACACCTGGTTGATAAGTCCAATATGTTTGTAAGGGGAAACTCAACTAAGTTTCACAGTACCATTCGGACTAAAAAGTCGCTAAACGGTAACGTAAAGTACTTTAAAAATTAAAAAATTGAAGCATACAACCATCACATTTAGTCGGACTGGTCAGTCAGTTAGTCATCATCAACGTCGAGCTTGGCATGAATTTGCTTGGCCAAAGGTGCCATACTATATTACCAATACCAAATGAAACTAACAAAATTAATAGCAAAAGAAGCCGAAATAATGTTGCAGCAATGATAATCTTTTCGCAAGCCCCCGAATGCCCTGGTACGGCCGAGAGTGGGGTGAGTCCGCTCTCCCTCTCGAAATACTCTCACACGGCCGCGCGTATACAGCCTCTGCCAGGGAAGTCCTACTCATTGCCTTCTCGTGGCGGGGGTGTTGTTTACAAAAATGAGAGGACGAAAAGCGAATGTCCGGCGCTTTAACCGGATCACAAACCAATGGTGCACATGGGCTCCAGTATCCTGCGGGAACAAATGGCGTATGAACCAATCCTTGGTCACCGGCTACCATGGGATTGCATCTCCTTACGATGCTCCACTGCCTTGTGGGTTAGACCTTTAGGTCAAAGGCTCGGGGAGTGGCCCCCTAAGAAAACCACCTGCTTCGGTTTGGGCACCCGGGCAGTATCACAGCCCACACACAAACGATGAACTCTATGTCTTTGGCAACTACTTTTATCGCTCCGAAAAACAAAAACAATCAATCGATTCAAATAATTATCATTACTATTATTGTCATTATTAATACTATTATTATTACTATTATTGTCGTCATTATTATTATTATTATTATTATTATTATTATTATTTCCCACATTATTCACCCTCTTTCATACTTATACAGCGGCTCGGCTTTGGTGGAAATCCGACTGTATCTAAACGTTCTCGAGTCACTGTCCGGTTGAAAGTTGTATGTTACCATCGAATATGAGTACTGAAGCAGTTTTTCTGAAACCACGTGCCCCATTCAAACTGGCTGCCTTCAACGTTCGCACACTTATGCAGGTTGGTCAACAGATAGGGCTGGCTATGTCTTTGGAAAGTCTTAATATTGATGTTTGTTGTCTATCCGAGACCCGTATTCAAGACTCTAGCGAAGTACTGCAAATTCGCTCTACATCTGTCACTTCAAAAAGCTTGTTTTACGTGCGCTTATCCGGGGACCCCTTGGCATCTTCGTCTGGTCTTGCTGGTGTTGGTGTCGCACTAAGCGCTAGAACTGAGGCAGCACTAGTCGATTGGATCCCCATTAACAGTCGGTTATGTGCTGTTAGATTAGAAAGTTCCATCAAAGTGAGGAGAAATCGGCGTGAGAAACGATGTCTTTTCGTCATCTCCGCCTATGCCCCGACAGATTGCAGCCCGGATGCAATCAAGGATGAGTTTTACCACCAGTTAACTGTTCTTCTCCAGAAAGTGCGTTCGACAGATATTGTAGTACTAGCCGGAGACTTGAATGCTCAGGTCGGGCGTCTAGGCACAGAAGAGAGTCGTTTAGGTGGCCGATGGGGACTCGTTGGTCGCAGGTCAGATAACGGGGACCGTCTACTGCAACTGTGCACAGACCACAATCTGTTTCTGGCTAGCACTAACTCTCGGCACAGTCATCGCCGATGTGCCACCTGGCGTCCTCCCTCTGCATCCCAAGCCTGGACTCAGATTGATCACATCGCGATCAGCTACCGCTGGCGTGGTTGTGTAAAAGACTGCCGCTCCTTTTGGAGTACCTATCTGGACTCTGACCATGCCTTGGTCTGCGCCAATCTTGCCTTACTTTTCAGTGGACAACGAAGTGACCGCCATCAACGGATTGATGTTAGCAAGCTGGTTGCAACTTCGGTTGCAAGTAAGTATCGAACCGAGCTAGCCTCTAGGCTAGCTACCACTCCACCGAAAAGTATAGATGAGCATTGGTTGCAATTGCATGACGCCATGAAAATGGCGGGAACAGTCAGTTGTGGGTTTGCGAAACGTCCCGCTTTTAAGCACTGGGTTTCTTCTGGTTCCTTACAACTCATTGAAGCCCGTCAGTCTACTCCGGGTGACCGTGAGTTTGACCATAAACGAAGGATGTTATGTAAGGAAATCGGGCAAAGCTTGCGTAAGGACCGAGAAGCCTGGTGGTCGAAGCGTGCTAATGAGCTGGAAGCAGCAGCTGCATCTGGTAATTACCGGAAGCTCTTCCAGCTCATCCGAGCCACTGGCAGCAAGAAGTCTGGTGTGAGTGAAACAATCTGCGAGGATGATGGGATGCCAATCACTAACATCCATCGACGTCTTGGACGGTGGGCAGAATTTTTCGAAGGGCAGTTCAACTGGCCTGCTGCTCAGGCAACATCAGTCAGACTGTCCTACCCTCCATGGCCGGTGACGACTGATCCACCAAACGAGGAGGAAGTCCGCAAGGAACTCCAACTCTTGAAGCGATACAAATCACCTGGCCCAGATGACTTACCTCCGGCTCTTTTTAAAGATGGTGGTGACTTTTTGACTAAGGAATTGACGACGTTGTTCACAAAGGTTTGGGAACTAGAGAGTGTGCCAACGTCATGGAATGAGTCGATAGTTGTCCCTATCTTTAAAAAGGGTTCACGTCGTTCCTGTAACAACTATCGGGGGATAAGTCTACTTCCGATTGCGTCCAAGCTATTGGCTTCCGTCATACTTCGTAGGTTGTTCAAAACCCGAGAAAGATTGACTCGCGAGGAGCAGGCTGGTTTCCGTTCTGGTCGAGGATGTATTGATCATATCTTCACCCTCCGCCAAATGTTAGAACACCGCCATACTTATCAAAGGCCAACAATCGTAGTGTTTCTTGACATCAGGGCTGCCTTCGATTCGTTGGACAGAACTGTTCTCTGGGATTGTCTATTGAAGAAGGGTGTGCCTGAGAAGTTTATTAACATCCTAAAAGCCCTATATAAAAACACCTCAGGCAGAGTGAGGGCATACAACCACCTTTCTCCATTGTTCCATTCGAGTAGTGGGGTTAGGCAGGGTTGCCCAATCTCACCATTCCTCTTCAACTTTGTCATCGATGACATTCTGGAAACAGCTCTGATGAATGTAAGTAATGGTGGTGTGGATCTGTTGCCTGGAGAAAGACTTCTCGACCTTGAGTATGCGGACGATATTGTCTTACTGTGCGATAATGCCCAAGGCATGCAATCCGCACTTAATCAGTTGGCAATCAGTGTCCGTAGGTATGGTATGTGCTTTGCACCTTCGAAGTGCAAGGTACTTCTACAAGACTGGCAGCATTCTAATCCTGTACTCACCCTGGATGATGAGCAGATAGACGTAGTTGAGAAGTTCGTGTATTTGGGTAGCTGCATAAGTGCTGGTGGGGGTGTGAGTGATGAGATCAATGCACGTATAGTGAAAGCCAGAGTAGCTTATGCCAATCTGGGCCACCTTTGGCGCCTTCGTGATGTTAGTCTGGCTGTAAAAGGCCGGATCTACAACGCGTCGGTGAGAGCAGTTTTGCTCTATGCTTGTGAAACCTGGCCTCTCCGAGTTGAGGACGTTAGACGACTCTCTGTGTTCGATCATCGCTGTCTCCGAAGGATTGCTGACATTCAGCGGCAACACCATGTCAGTAATGCACAGGTTCGGCATCGTGTGTTCGGGCACAGAGATGATAATTCAATTGGTGTCACCATCTTGAAACACCGACTTCGGTGGCTTGGACATGTTCTCCGAATGTCGTCCCAGAGAATTCCACGTCGTGCATTATTTGCCGACTCTGGGACTGGTTGGAAGAAGCGGAGAGGTGGTCAGTGCATGACATGGTGTCGTGGCATGAAAGAAAGCTGCAAAGGACTGGCGTGTGTTGGTTCTTCACGACTCCCTGGTTGGGGTCTGAGAGATGGTGCTACACAGTGGCTAGAGACGTTATCAGATATGGCTCAGAATAGAAGCCAGTGGCGATCCTGCTGTAACCTTCTTTTACTTTCTTCATAAACAGTGGTTGTGTCTCCCTTACCTGAAAGATTTCTTCCGATTGTACCTTTGCGTTCCCTGATTACTAGCACATTACCTTACACCAATCTCTTCGTTATTGTTCTCTCTTTTTTTTGTTGCGCTCCTTAGCTTTTTTTTTCTTTGTATTCCTCTCGAATTTTCATTGTTTTGTGTGGTGCATATATATTGGCGCTCCCCTGTACCAATATTCATGTGTCCAAATAAATAAATAATAATAAATAATTAGGAGGACTAGGTACTGAGAATATGGTCCAAAAAGAGAGCGGAAAGATCCGTGAGATTATTACGTAAATAATGTCGAAATTATGAAGTTTATAAACGAGTTACAAATCGAAGTATTTAGATTATCAATCATACTCGACTCCTATGTGAGGTATGACGCCTTTGGGGAATTCTCAGAAAAGTCAGATAAACTACATGACACTAATTTGAAGTTTATCAACTGTTTTAAATCAATCACAGAAAGTACACATTTGACGAATGTGGTCCATATGACTAGGGACTAAGGTAAACTTACTATTTACCAAGTAGGGTTACAATTACATACAATACAGAAAAAGATTCTGTAAGTACTACGAAACGATTATTTTAATCAATAAATTAACAACACCCATGAAGAATCAATTTCCGAGGATTTTAGGTAAATACACTAACCTGTAGCTTCGAAAAGGCGTGTGAAGCGCATATTTTGTTTTATGACATGGTCAGCATACTCTAGTGAAGGCTAATAAGGAAGAACCCTGACATCTCATAAAATAAAGGAGTCTTTGAAACATTCTATAGACTAGTGTAAAATTAAGTTTAGTAAAGCGTTGGGGACTTTAGAGAATTTGAAATAAAGCAAAACTGAAGCAACTTAGCCCATTTCAGAATTACAAGACGTCACTTACATGTAGATAATGATCAAAAATGGGGAATCTACCAGATCACATAGTTTTCACCTAAACTTATAGTAAATCTCATAAAGTCGAATTGCAGAAAATGATGTAAAAGTGTGCTTACAAAATTGTATTCCAATCGACTCCACAAAGAAATAAATAGTCTTGTAAATGGATTTCAGTGTCTAACCAAACATGTTTATCGTTACTGAATGGCGTTAATTTGGTCCATTTAAATGAAGCATTGTAGTGAACGAGAATATCAGTGAGGACAACCAAATGTATTTAAACACAAAATTACAGAGTCTCTTAGTAAGATCTGAAAACCATACAATGAATACTTCATTTGCAAAATCTCAATCAATTGTCTCAGACTTTATTGTTCCTTCGTCTCTACACCAATCACTCTTTTCCCTTCGATCTCCTCAGTCAGTCAGCTGCATCGTAGGACCAGGCACGTATATGTATCGGTCTAATTCGCCACACCTCATTAGCACAACAAGATGAACACCAAATTTACAGAAGTAATCACTTCAATGGTAGTACTGTATGAAAGATTGTGTACAGGAAGAAAGAATTAGTTCGTAGAAAGAAACATATGAAGCAATTCTAATCTCAGTTTAAGGGAAGACAGATTCTGAGCCATGTCACCCAGAGTTTCCAAACATTTGGTTACGATAGTCACGCGAAACCCAACAAAGTAGTGTGCATCTATCATCATGGCTCAGACCAGAAGTTAGTGACTTCAAAGACCGGTGCCACGTTAGTTTGGCCGCCCCTAACTTTCTTCCAACCATCCCTAACACGTGGCCCAACCACCTTAGTCAATGAAGATTTACAACCTTATCAACTAATTGACCATCATTCCCTAACACCCTGCGTTTAACCTCACTATTACTTACCCACTAGATACGAGCAATATTTCTAAGACATGTGATCAAATACTAGTAGCTTACGAGTATCTTCTCAGTCAGTCGGTGACAACGTAGAACTTCGTACGTACATACATCAGTTCGAGTTGCCATATCACATTAGCACAGAGATGCATTTGTCGGTTCAAATCCCGTAGTGGTAGAGGTAGTAAAAGTATAATCAGTAATCGGAAACACTAGGGTTCGAAGATGTTATTCAAGGAGTACAATCCGGTGAGATAAATTTGGAAAGAGTAGAAAGAAAGGGACATAAAGAATTCAAAAGATTAGAATTTGGGAAAACAAAAAGAGTGGACGCACCTGCACCATAGTAAACGATTTTGAGTCATGTCATTCAGGATCTCTAACCATAGGTTGCTACCGTCTCGCGGATCCCAATCAGATAGTCTACACCTACCAACATAGCTCAGTCCACTTGGCAGTAACTTCATGGACTTGTGCCATGTTTTGTTCTGGACGCCCCTAGCTTTCTTCCAACCTACTCCTACACCATAAAACATCGCACCTTGGGGGAAATCAGTGGTTGGGCATATGTAACACATGTCCCAGCCATCTCAAATGACGAGGTTTCACTATTTCATCAATTGATTTGCCATCCTTACTTAGTACCCGTTTCCTAACAACTGCATTGCTTACTCGATGGTCCCAGGATATACGAGCAATGCTTCGAAGACACCTCTGATCGAATACTAGTAACCTACGAATATCCTCTACTCTTACCGGCCATGTTTCATTGCCATGAAGTAGGACGGAACGAACTGCTGCACAGTAAACACGTCCATTGGTTGCTAGACGGATATCTCGCCTACGCCATAAATGACGCAAGTTGGCAAAAGCTAGTCGAGTCTTCTGTATCCGAGCTGAGATTTCGTCACACACTAAACCACAAGGGCTGATGAGACTTCCAAGATAAGTGAAGCGGTCGACAACTCAACTACTTCACTCCCTATCACTAGTTCGGGTGTCGATGTAACCCAATCCTGAAGCAACATTTTGCATTTCGAGGGGGAGAATCGCATCCCGAACATGCTTGCATTGTTGCTCATAGTGATCAGAAGACTGCATTTTGTCAGCGTCTTCACCAAATAGAACTATGTCATCGACATATTCTAAGTCAACAAGAGAATATCCTGGTATAAGTTCAACTCCTGGAAATTTAAAGGAGGAAAGTGTCATCTCTAAAAGCACGTCTACTCTTAATGGCCACGTTTCACAGAACGAACTGCCGCACAGTTAGTCAGACACCAACCCATTAGGGTTGATCAGACTTCCAAGATAAGTGAAGTTGTCAACGCGTTCGACTACTTCACTCCCTATCCTTAGTTCAGGTGTCGACGCAGGTCAGTCCTGAAGCTAAAACCTGCATTTAGAGAGGGAAAACACACCCCAAACAACCTGGCATTTTTGCTCAGTGCTACCAAAAGAGTGCATTTCATTAGCGTTTTCAAAAAACAGGACTATGTCATCTGCGTATTCTAAGTTGATAAGTGGATCTCCTAGTAGGAGATCAATGCCCAAAAATTTAGTCGACGAGAACGTTATGTCCATCAGTAGGTTTACGATGAAGTCAAACAAGAATGGAGAAAGTGGACAGCCTTGACGGATACCACTTGAGGTTGCAAAAGCAGATGACAGTTTGCCATAAGCTCTGACTCGACTAGTAGTGCTCAAGTAAAGAACCTTCAGAAGGTTTATGTATTTCTGAGGTACGCCCTTCAATGACAGACACTACCATTGGACCTCCCGGTCTACAGAGTCAAATACTGCCTATAAGTCAAGAAAGACCACCACTGTCGGATGCCGATAAGCATGTTTGTGTTCAAAAATCTGACGAATGTTGGATATGTGGTTGATGCAGCCACGACTGGGGCTGAAGCCAGATTGATTCTCTCATGTTTCCAGTTCATGAGTCTTATTTAGGCGTGCGATAATTATCGAGGCTAGTATTTTAGATGCTAAGAGGCTAACCGAAGGTCTACAAATAATCCTCCAACAACAAAATATTTAATGGCCTAAAGTGGTATTAAGACTAATCTTTGTGTAGTGACCGGAAGCATTGTTTGTTCCCAACACACATATAGAGTAATTTAAAGAATATATATACTGGAAACTAAAGTTATGAATCTAACAGAAGCTAGACATATAACAAGGGTTTAAGTTTTACAGTGGATAGGGGAAATTTTGTGAATATATGAATAACATATGCATATGAATTAGCAACGAACTTGTTTCAGGATAAAAACTACACTGTCAACCCTTTACAATTAGAACACAGGTACCGTCAATACATAAAAAAGCCGCTGGAATCACACACAGGAGGCTTATGGCCTATGTTATTCTTTTTCTAGTATGCCTCTGTGAGTGTTCATTCTTCTCTTGAAAGAGTCAACAGAAGGTCCAAACACCACTGCTTTGAGTAACAGGTTCCAAGAATTGATGACTCGGTGTGAAAGCCTGTATGCTACGGGTATTTTACTCGTTCTTGGCTTTTCTACTCGCCTGCTATATCCTCTGAGATGCTCCGATCTGGTAGGAAGGAAAAGAAAAGATATATTAGGACCAAAACTATTTCGTAGTATTCCATACATCAAAATCAGATCATCTCTTAGTCTGTGATAGGACAGAGTAAAGAGATCTAGATTTTCAAGCCGCTTTTTGTATGACAAACCCCGTAGTTATGGGATTTCACGGGTAGCTACCCTCTGTACTTCTTTCAAGATATTCGGGTCACCTTTTAAACAGGGGCTTGCAGACTGAACGAAGTACTCAAGCTTAGTTTTCACTAAGGTTGTGTATAATGTAGTGAACATGGTAGTATTTAACTTCGCGAATGTCGTCTTAAAGCGATGAGGGCTCTAAACCCTTTAGCTGCGACCTCCCGGCAGTGAGCCGTGGTTTTAGAATCATGACTCACTGCCACCCCAAGGTCATTGTGAGACCAGACCTCGGGTACGGGCACTTCCTCTATGCTGTATCTATTTACCGTTGTATCCACCAAAGTGTATGTAGTTACACTTTGCCGCGTTTATAGGCATCGGCCACTCCTTAGACCAGTTAATCACTGTATTTGAGTCAGCCTGAAGTGCGCATGCATCTGTGTCTGCCGTTATTTCTCGCCAGATATTTACATCGTCAGTGTATAATAACATTGGGGTCTCTACATTGGCGATCAGTTACGTACAGTATAAAAAGTAAAGAACCCAGGATAGAACCTTGCGGTACTCCACTAAGTACTGGTCTCCAGGTGAAGCACTTCCAATGTATTCTTATCTTCTGTCTACGATCTAATGGGAAATCCTTGAGCCATTTTAGAAGAGGTCCGGCAATACCAAGATTTTCTAGCTTCAACAGCAGTCTATTTATTGATACCTTGTCAAACGCTTTGTTAAAGTCTATGTGGACAACATCCACTGATTTTCCGTTGTCTATAGCCTTTATCCATTGTTATCTTGCTGTAAGGAGGTTTGTTATGCAAGATAAAAAAATTTCTGAAACTATGTTGTTCGTTGTTTAACAAGTTGTTGGTTTCCATAAATGTCATGGTTTATTTCACTATTCTTTCAAGCACTTTAACAGCGACACTGGTGAGGCTGATAGATCTGTAGTTCTCTGGAAGTTGTCTTGGTCCTGTTTTATGTATGGGAGTGACGATTGCATCCTTCCAGTCCATGAGTAACACATCATGGTCAAGTGACATATTGAATATCACAGTCAATGGCGCTGCAATATATTGTGCAAATTGTTTCAGGATTTCCGAGTCTGGTTCACCCGGTTCTGTTCACTTTCCCATGTCTAAGGTGGTAAGAGCATTAAGCACATCGTCTTGACCAAAGTCCACGGTGAGCAGACGGTCTTTTAACTTTGTATTCAGGTCTAGTTCTTCGCCTAGAAGAGGATCCTGAGTAAAAAACGGCCCTAATATATTTTGCAGTAGCCTCTGCTTTTTTTGATCATCCTCTCACTTCAGATTCACTCCATACATCGTATGCTTGTTACCTGCTTCACTGATGCAGTCCACCTTCATGATTTCATTCAAACCCAGAGCTTGGCTCATGATAACGCTCTCTATTTCATCAGAAGCGGAGTTCTGCTAATCTACTGCAGCCTGTTTATCTGAAAGCAATTTTCTAGCTATGTTCAGCAGCTCAGTCGCAGAGACTTTGTAGAAAAACCTGACTTGCACATCCAACGTGACAATGGCTTGCAGCACCTTCTATATGCAGCCGGTATGAGTCCGGTGCACACATTGTGATATCACTTTTTGCACTTCTCACAATGCATCCCATCAGCTATAGGAAAATAGCATTCAAGTCTGCTGTAAGATGCAAACTACGTTTGGACTGCTGTACAGCTGCCTGGATGAGTTAGATACGCGCTCACGCCCATTTGAAACCAAGACAAAGTAATTGGGTAAGATAGCGGTTCTAAACAAATATAACCACTCAGCTACCCAACCAATAATTGTTCAATTGATCAAATCAATCACCACAAATAAATGTTATTCTATCCTGTCTGGATAGATCACGTACAGATTCGTTCAAAAGGTAATAATTGGTCGCTCCATAACACATAGTATTTTCAATTCTGGAAGAGTGCTTCAATTCACAACCGAAATTCACAATTCCAGTCAACACAGGTCAAGCAATCAAAAGCAGGAACAAACCAAAATGGCTGCTGCCCAAACTTAGTATAAAGTAAAACAACATAAATGCAGTTCGGGAAGAAGCATGGGGAATTAGTGAAGGTGTAGTAAAAACGAAAACCATAATAAAATACAAATATTAACAATTCAAATGTAGTCAAAAAGTTAACAATGTACAACTAAGAGGATCAATAGGAACAAAGTACAAGTATATACATGGAGGGATTTTCACAAACACACAAAGCATTCAAAATGGATCTTCAATCTGCCACAGTTATGTTTTACTTGTGTCACGAATTTGTTTTGTGATCTCGGAGCGAAAACTAACCAAGGGATAAAGTGTCTATTGAGGCTTGACAGGTGATAGGCACGGAATACAAAAACAAGGATTTACGTAAAACTGCACGTAGCAACAATAAATAATCCGACTTCAGTAGTTATAAAGAGACCTTAACACCTATGGATACAAACAATACTGAAAGATAGACTCAACGAAGAGGAATAAAATCCAGTGCCCTTATTTATTTTGTATCTTTACAGGAAAAGTACAGATGATAAAGTTCCATAGAAAAGAAACAATACTCTTGGGGATTACTTTAACTTAGATAAATTCAACTAAAAATAAAACGGTAGTCATGATGCGGAATTTAAAGATCAATACTATGAAATATACTCAAAGCAAAAATACCACTGTCATTATTAAACAACGCGCTGTGGCCGAAAACTACAGGCTCGCAGTAGCTATTTGTAACAGGTTAAAGTTTTCGATTGCAGAGACGAATGATTCCTATTTTAACCCTCTGAGAAAATAAAATTAGTACGTAACCTCATTTGATATTCATCCTCGAATCCATTTTGGTGATGCAATTTTTCTATCCTCCTATAGACATACATTTTCCATATACCTATATATACGAATGTACAGTTTAAGTAAATGATTTCGTCGAAAAGAAAATCTTTCTCGCTGAATTCTCTTTTTCTTATTCAATGACACTATGGATTATTTTAATTATCTGAAATGCTAAAAGCATTTATTAATAATACTGGTACTTAATGAACCCTTTATGTGACTCTGTTTAGATCGTTTGCTGATTATTATTGAAATATACATCCCTGCTTCCCTTGTATATATTTCATCAACTTGATCCATGTTAGTGAACAACGGAATTAAATAAGCCAAATATGAGATTGGAATCTGAATACGTATGTTTCATGCACTCATTGATTTGAACTGGAAGTCAGAGGAACGAAATGACACGTAGTGGAAATGGTGAGTAATCCAACTCAATTTAATCAAAAGTTACTCAGTATTGATATACAGACCAAAAATAAGTTATCGACATATGATGAGTAGGGTGAGCAATCAACATACATATGTCATGTAAAAATAGTCAAGGTTAATAAGCCAATAAGTGAAAAGGTCAAAATGTCCGAATAACACATGCGTGCAGCAGTGTATTTATGAACGATAACCAATGGGTCATGCTATGTGTGTTCACGAACCAGGACGGGATGTCAAAGGTCAAGTTTTCATTATTTAAACAGCAATTTTACAATCAGTTATGGTAATTGCACAAATTAGGAGAATTGATAAAAAAATGCAAATAATAACAAAAATGCATTCTATTTGGTTCATGGGGATGACCAATAGACAACCGATAAATATCACTTTCCGATACCCAATATCTTTGTCATTAACTTGCACAAACCAGTTGATTTCTTTACACTCGCTTCTCTTGTTTCCACACTGTCCAAGATATCCAGTGGCTCAGAGAGAATAATCTCAAGCATTGGAGTCTATCCAGGTAAAATTTGTGTTTTATTTCTATCACCCACTTAGTTCTCTCTCTCCGTGCTTGGTCTAGGGACTTCGTCTCTTTTGAAGCGAGAGGGAGCAACAAAATTGTGCATTTTGAAGTGGAGTTGTGCGTATGTTTGAAAGAAAGTTAAAAGCAGCTGTAAGGTTTTTTCGCACAAAGTGAAGAGCTGAGTTTTTTGCCGCATCCCCATGTAGTTTGAGTTGGTTTCTAAGCTTCAAACGTTGCACACCATGGTGACACGAGCGGAGTTGTTTGAATTCTCGATACCTGGGGTGTTTAGAATAACTTGGCGTCCACCATACAGCAGACGTTGGTTAGCGATAGACAATGCCAGAAGTCGTCAGAAATATTCCACTTAATCATTATCAGCTTTGTTTGGCTAACCGTCACCTAGATCACTCGAGACCTGCTGGAGTTCATAGCTTGATAGCGTAGCATCCTGAACCAAATTCGCCGTTACTGGCAAGGCCTCGATCATATCAGCACTAACATGTTTTACTTCTGCTTCAGTCGACGCTGCCATTATGAGGCAATGATCGCCGGTATGCGTCCATAATGTGCTGAAATATGGCTGGGACTGACTTGATTCCAAAGGATAGGCGAGTATATTGATAGAGACCTAGATGTATAATAATGATAACTAATACTATAGGTCAATCTTCGCACACAACCTGCCTCCGTCCAGTTTTGCAGAAAGATCATCTGGCGTGGGAAGTGGGTATTAGTGTGTTTCTAGGGAATGGTTTAGTCTTGCTAGAAAATCCACATACACTGTAATTGAATCATC